TTTTGTACTTCCGAGAAGCTTCTGCAATCGACATACCACCAGCAACTGCTTGCAAACATTGTTGCAGCTTTTCTAAAGTGTAATCACGGTAGTTTCTCGTTCCAGGTATTTTTTTATAACGTCTGACCATTTTTCTGTCGAAAAAAAAAACGAATGAAACTTTGCACAAAGTAGCCCCAAAGTGCATTTTTTTTCATTTTCCGTTTATTTGTTATTAATTTTCAAATTTTTTTAACGCTAACATGATATAATTGTTTATTAATATATAAATAAAAAATTTTGCACTTACGACAATTGTTTTATCAACGTCTTTGCATTTCACAGCTAGAGTTTCCACGCACACGTTTCGACGTCCGACGTTCTCGGAAAGTTGTTGACATTGGATAAACAAAACACACTCTGAGATTGTTTTAAAATTCGAAATTCTTTTTGTAGTAATAGAGGAGACTTCTATCTTCAAATTCCACACATTTTTAACTTGTGAAAAACATAATACTGAATAGCAGCACTTGAAAAGTGCCAAATTCGAATTTGCACAAAGTAGCCCCCGCTGCACAAAGTAGCCCCACATGACGGTATTTAATAATTGCAACTGTAGGCACGCTATGACAATGTCGTAGTCACAAATAGCAAGTCAACTATTCAACACGCACCATCTATCGAAGCAGGCGTATTCTCATCGAAGTGGGCGTTTCTGTCAAGGTAAGCATGTTCAGATGTTAGCAGGCGTTACTGCCAAGATAGGCGTGCTCAAATCACGTTCAAAGGGTGGGAGGCTAGAGTGCCGACATTGTCAACCTTCATCTATCAAAAGGTACCTTAAGATAAAAGGAATCGAGTTAATATGTCTATATACTAGTGAATTGGTATTTAATAATTGCAGTGGTAGACACGCTACACTATTAAGCTTGAGAAATAATTCAGCAATTTTTTAGTGCTGCACAAGAGGATACATCTATATTATTTGTACATTTTTCTGAAGTGTTAAATTCTGAGTCATTCATTGAGCTTTCATTTTGTTAATATGAACTTATGAAGATTCCTGTTTGCAACAAATTTAGCTATTTGGATACAAATTAAGTAAGTTACAAAAACTTTCCAATTAAATTTATCTAATGATTAGGAAGGAAGGTGCATTTTACTAAAGCTACACATAGAAACATACTTGGAAAATTTATAAATTTTACTTAAAATCATTCTGCTACAAATGTATAATCCAGTAGAAATTCTTTATACCTTTGAATAAATGCATTTGCATCTTTAGAAATAGTTTTTAATATAAATACTTTTGCATTTTTCTCATCAGTTCCATCATTGACATTAATGCAGACTAGCATTATTATTACTGAAAAACTTAATGAACATTAAACTTTAATTTTTATGTCAGCAATGATTTCAGTAAGAAACAATTTTTGCATGAATTTTTTAACACACCTTAAATTCGCTATTCAACTGGTTCAACTATGCAATTGGCTTTTCTCTTTTTTAAATCACCTTTTTTATTAATCTTTTATTGAAATGTACAATATTGAAAACGTTACCTATAGCAGATGATTGCATACTTGTTTTGACAAACCTCTACTGGTGTAAGACATGGATACTTCAGCCCGGAAATGGCTTCATACGCCGTTAGGGGTACTTCCCTGTTATAAACCTTTTTATTGGTTGCTTGTTTTTGGACAGGTCATAATATTGAAACATCCCTAGTCGCGTATGATGACATTTCCGGGCACCGGTTTCAACGCAATTTTTATCTTGATGATGTGCTATAATTCCTATAGAAGTTTGTCGGAATATTTACGCTATCCTCTGTTATATAAAACGTTTTTGACTTGTGCATTTCTACAAGAAATAGACTGAAAATTCATTAAAAAAATTGTAGCTGAAGGAGCAAAACTAATTTCGTATTTGAAATCCCCACACACGAATTAAGCAATATCAAGTATTAGCATAAGTGAAACAAAAAAGTCTGTTCTATTAAAATTAATAGGGAGAAAAATCAGTTACCCCCATAGAAACCAAGGAGAAATAGTAATGATGATAAAATTGCTTCAGGTCAATAGAGATATGATAGCACGTATGTTGCGAGATAATATGCGTTTGAAAGTATGCAGCTACTTATACATTTGTAGAACATCGAGGCATTCTTTACCGTCCACTAAATAAAAGATATAAATATAATAAAAAAATTGCCTCTAGTATTGTATGCAACCTATAAATGCTTCCTAATCCTGTGAGTGCAACCCGTAAGTGGTACGTAAACTATCAGTTTCTAATTTCGGAAAGCAAAAAAAATTTTCTAAAATTAGTAACTATTATTTTTTTACCAACCACTTTGATCTGAACTATGGAAAATTACAATGAAGAATTCAAAATTATATTAACACTATAGCCACAACAGTACTCCGATTCATTTAAGAAGGCTAAGCTTTACATTTTTGGTAAACTAAAGTTTTAGCCAAACTTTTTAACATTTTAAAGTTAGCTTTAAATTTCCTATAAAGTTTACATGTACATGTGTAAGATGGATTCAATAATTAAAAATGCATTGAATGCATTGCAAACGTTCTTTAATTTAAAATAGTTTAGATCATATAAATGTTTATTATCTAAGTCTCACCGGATGAAAAAAAATAGTCTGCTTCAACTTAAATCATGATAATTTACTACCATGTACTTTCGTTATTGAGCTTGCTAATCACCTAAATTCGATTAGGAAATTATTTAATAAATTTTGCAGGTGCTTCACAATCAGTTTCTACCCCTCTCAGAGAATTTGTTTTCTCAAATTCATATAATTGTGGAGATGCTGATTTCGACATATTAACCGCTATTCATGTCGGACGAGTTTGTAAAACATTTGAAATGTAATAAAATGTGAAAGAATTCTTTAAAACAAGTCTCATACTCTTACAGTCTGAGGAAATCTGTTGTTTTTATCTTCAAAAATAGCTCCTCCAATTGCACACACTTCATAATGCTGATTGCTGAATGAAGGCAGAAGCTGATCATCCTGAATTTTAAAATAATCAGTTCATTCAGATTAATTGCCATTTAGTGAGCAGGCCTAATCCCAGTTTAAGTGGTTATCAAAACAAGAAACGTATAATTTCCATGATTTTTTAGGGGTAACTATTTCTCTAAGGGTACCAGAGAGAATATGGCTTAAACTTTCTTAGTTTGTTCTCTTTTCTTATCACGTATCACGCTCAGTCAGTATTGTCAGTATCACGTTCTTTAACATATTCCTGTTAAAGAACATGGCATAAAAATTTAATTCACTGTAAAAAAATCCGAATCAAATTGCAATATAAAGTACCGGCACTTAAGGTGCATCATCCGTAAAAACTATTTTATCGTAAAAAATTATATCGTAATTGTAACTGTAATGTATATTGAATTAGAGCAATTCAATAATTTTACGGTCCCGCAGTGGACTAATCGTTAAGGCACGGTTCCCAGAACACCGCAGAAGTCAAGCATCACTGGCTGCTGTCAGTGTGAGGATGGGAGACCACTTGGATCAGTCTGCGTAGGGACCGAGGGTGTGCGGTATGGGTCCGTAAAGTGCTCGACTTCGCGTGCAGGTCGTTGGGCTACCAAAGCTGGGGCGCCATCCCCTCTGCAGAGGATCAAAATTGTGATGGCTTATCTTTGGATCATCCTCAGGGATGCTTC